TATATATTTATTTATTTATTTCTTAGAGGCAAAAACAGCCATATACAAATAAAATAAAAACAAACATAACTATAAAATATATTTCTAACTATATAAAATATAGTATTTGCATAAAGAAAGTCTATTTATAGGGCCATGAACATTTTTATGCAATGTACATAATGAGGACAATAATGCACTACATTCTAAACTCTTATATCATGATAATATTTGTCGTACTGTTTTTAATTTATGCTGAGATTAATTTAAAAGAAAATAATGAATTATAGCAACATGAATCTCTAATGAAAATCATTAGAGAATACTGAGAAATCGAAAGAAACTCCAAACTCCAAAACACACAAACGCATTACAGTAACGAGGATTTAGCGGATAATGGGAGGAAAACAACGTCACAATGCAAAATGATGGCCCCTGAGTTAAACACAATGTCCTATTCTCCATTTCTTTCTTTTTAAATATGAAATACGAACTTCACACGTTCTTGAGAGGTTTCATGAGACTGCCTCTCTCATTCTGAACAGACTGAAAGTAAAGCTGGCCTGCAGGTCGCACACACCTGAGTTGTCCTCATCCTTGCGGATTTTGAGTTTGAGCAGGTCTTCGCTCTGCTGGAGGATCTCGACGGCGTCTTCCATGGAGCAGTTCTCCAGACGGATGTTATCTATGGCCAGCAGCTTGTCTCCGGGCTCCAGAGTTCCTGTTCTGCAGGAAGAAACCATGAAACGTGCTTCAGTCTCGCAAACAAACACTAAACCAATCTGCAGAGTCAACAACTAACTTTGTACTTGTTTTTGTCTGCAACACAAAGTTGCAAAGAGCTTTTTCACCAAACAAGATGAGATATTTACATTTCTAGGAGACAAAAACAATATAAAAATATTTTATTTTTATAAAAAATGTATATATAATTTTGATTATCAAATATTGATTTTGAAATATTGCACAAACAGAAAGCACACTACTTCCAAGTTTTACAGTAAATTATATATGGAGTTTGTCTCACCCTAGAGGACATTTTGTTTCTGCATCCATGATAATTCTATTATGTCTGTGAAATACTTCAGCATCAGATATCATGTTTCAATTGTTATTTTACATATTCCAAATAGGATAATTATAATATAAGTAATTTTAAAACTCATATTTCTAAGAAGCAAAAACAATAAAAAAATACAAAATATATATATATAAAATAACATATAAAAGGATCAACATAAACTAAACTCAAATAAAAAGGATTTATAAGGATATATAAAAATAGGAGTTTTGTTTTTAATAGGCAAAACAATTATATAAATGTAAATATAATAAAATACTAATAAATATAACATTTTCTAATAAATATAAATAATTCTAATAGAATAATTTTCTAATTATATATATATATATATATATATATATATACACACACACACACATCAGGATTTAGATTTCTATGAACAAAACAAAAAAAATAAAATAAATAAATAAATAAATAAAATAAAAGGGATATTAAAAGATTTGTATTTCTAAGAGGCAAAACAATAATTTAGAATAATTTAGCATAAAGAAAGCATATTTTGAAGACTCATGAAAATTTCAATTCCCAAGTGTTTGTGTCAGTATTGTAACGTGCTTGTTCGTACCTGTGTGCCATGCTGCCTTTTTTAATGTCAGATATGATAAGAGGCTCTCCTGGTTTCTTACTGGCTGTAGAAAGATGGGAAAACACATCAAGAGTACAGTGTTGCAGCATATCACACACACACACACAAACACACACACACAGTTTCAAGCAAAAATGGAAACTCTTATCTGGATCCAGCATGAGCGTGAGCCAGACGTTCAGAGAGAATATTTTGTGCAGATGGAAATCTGGATCCAGCATGAATATTTTGCGTAAATGGAATAAAACATTTTAAGAGCAGACGTGTAAAGATTCCCAGCATCCACTGACTGTTCATCTTTTAAATGTTTTAAGTGTTTTCATCACGGGTGAAGCAAAAAAAAAAAAAAAAAAAAAAAAAAAAAAATAATAAACACATTGCCATAGAGACATCAACAGGAATACTCTCCCCGCCCTTACCAACGACCTCGAACCCCGTCAAACCCACATAGTGAGGGTCACCCCACGACGACAGCAGATTCAGCTGCAGAACTAGAGAGAAACAGAGTTAAAATATTCAATTTAATTCACGTTTATTTGTTTAGTGTTTTTTACAATGCACATCATTCCAAAGCAGCTTTACAGAAAATGCATGAAATGTTTCTTACCATGAGCACACACACACACACACACACACACACACACACATCATGGTATTTAAATTGTACTCAAAGCCAATTCAACGAATACCATAATCATAATAATAATAATAATAATGTATAATAATGTATAATGTATTTATTCTATTCCAATTAATTAGACTTCCTGGGAACTGCACTGATAAAATGAGTCCTTTGAATGCAAATATGTGTCTTTTGATTAAAAATATATATATATTTTAATGATGACAAATTAAATGTACACTAAATTACAACACACAAAATTAACATTATTATATAATAAATCATTAATATAAAATAACAAATTAAATGAACATTGAAACAGTATATAATAAACAATAACATATAATATTAATAACATATAATATTTTATGGGAACACACATGCTAAGAAAATGTGCTTTGAATGCACTGAGAACCACTCGTGTTATTTTCACTCTTGCAATCTCAAAAAAAAAAAAAAAAAAAACGTTTTTTATCCATCAACAAGGTCATAGTTGGGGTTTGAAACCATTTTGGTTACTCTACCAAACAGGCATGTTTATAATCAGCCAGTCTCCAGTTATTACATTATAGATCTGATTAATTGACATGACTGATATATATACAGTATATGGTTAACGGTAAATTCCCCTACTATATACAGTGAAAAACTGTATTACATGTATTGGACATTAATTTTATGGTAGTATACCGTTTTTGGAAGTGTAAAAGACAGAATTCCCTGCGTTACGTTTAAAATGTGATGTTTTTTTGTTGAAATAACTATGTTTCTTCTTAGTTTTTTCTTATCAGTTTTGTATATTAGGGTTGTGTGTTACACCTAATGTTGTTAAATGAATGTTTATTGCATTATTTCAGTTTCATGTGTGTTACCATGATGGTGTTTAATGTTTGTGTGAATGACACTGTGCACCTTTTATATATGTTATTATTTAAAAGCTGCTTGTGATGGGCTTTGGTTCGTCATGTGACTTTCTCATCACCACCTGCATTTGGTGGTTATCAGTTTATTACAAAGGTACAAAACAGATTTCAGTACTTCAATAGGCTGGGAAATTAACATTATATCAGTTAATGAAATTACGGTATTTAACTGTAAATTTAAGTTAAAACCGTAAAACCTAAAATGTTGGTATCGTATTTTTTACGGTAAAATTCCGGCAACCACAGCTGCCGGTTTATTACCGTAAATTTTACGGATTTTTTTTTTACAGTGAAGAGATTCAGGTTCAAATCAGATTTTTACTCTTTTCTAACCCTCAAAGTGCCTCACACACTTTACTATACGCCAAGCGCAGTATTTTAAGACGTTTCAGACGTCTGAAGGACAAGAAAAGAACTGCACTTAAACATGTGCGGCTGTGAATCTGACAGAAGTGGTCAGAGTCTGTTCACTGATGGATAGAGTTCTTTGTGCATGTGGTACAAATGCAAAGCCTGTGATTCATATCAGCACGCGTGCAAGTATAATACAAGTTTAATGGCCCATGATCCCTCAGGGTTTACGCCTTACAGAAGCTTTAGAGGAACGTCAGATGGAAAGAAGCCAGCTCAAGTAAACAAGCCCACGGAAAGCCTGTGAGAGCCACATAAACACTTCCTCAGAAAAGGAGGCTCTGTTGATCAGGGCTAATATAATGACAAGGATGAGACGAGACGAGACGAGACGAGACGAGACGAGACGGGATGCCCCAGATCGGGTGGTCTGGATACAAACATGCTCCGTGAGGAAAACCGATATGCAGACGTATTTAATGACACAGAACATGATGTCAAAATATTTGTGTGGGTTTATTTCCCGTCCATTTGGGGATATAAAGTTGAACTGCGTCTTGGCGAGTTTGAAAAGCGAAACGGAGAATGGTAAAATAGGCCAGGGAGAGAGGGATCTTAAAATCTCCTCCAAAAAAGATTCAGAGGGAATGGCTTAAATGTTTTTGGGGATGAAAACAGATCAGGAAAGCAAAAAGAAAAAAAAATCTTGTCGACTTTCCAATACATGATAAGACTTTTAGTGTTATCTTTACAAAAATAAATGCAAATTAGCAATCCTAAAGTAAACTTACTTAAATTGACCTTAAATGACACAAGCCACCAATACTGTAACACTCTGCTTATTTTATTATTGTTATTACTTTATCTTGCTCATTTACATATAGCAGTTTTTGCATATTAAAATAGTGTTTTTATTAAAATCAAGTCACAAAATATTTTTTTAATCACTACAATTATACAGTAACATAAATGTTTTGTATATTTGTGTCTATTTTGTTCATATAGTCATTTTTTTGGCAGTCATAGTAACATTTGTTATTGAAACCAAACCATATCAAAGTCTTTTGAACATCTTTGCTACAAAAAAATAATTACACTAATAGAGTAAAATATAGTAAAATTAAATTGAATTTTCTATATTATAAATTATATTAAAAAGTTACTTTGATTGTAACTGGTTTTATTAATTAATTTATTAAATCAGCATATTAGAATGATTTCTGACACTGATTTTAAAATATGTTAAAACAGAAAACAGTTATTTTAAATTGTAATAATATTCACAATATTACTGTTTTTACTGGTGAGCAGAAGAGACTTTCAAAAACATTAAAACAATTATTTTCCCAAACTTTTAATTGGTAATGTGTATGCATATACATATACATATACATATACATATACATATTATCATAACAAACTAGGATCAAAGTGACTTGGTTTAACTTTGAACAGTTTTATTTTGAAACTTTATTTTTAAGATATTTTTGTAATTACTTCAATAATACAAGATTACATTGTAACTTTAATCTATTGGCACAAACTGTCGTGTGGCTATAATTATTATTATTGACTTCATTAGTGAATCATATTATTAATATCCAAATCATCAGGAAGCATTGCATGGGTGATGGTGGCAAGTGCGAATGTTAACCTTAAATTTATTAGCTAAAAGACATCTCGCTGAACATTTTTATGTTTCAAGTCATTTGCAGGTTACTGCGAGACCGATAACCAAACGTTATGATGCCTGAGTAGATAAGTTGTTTCTCCACATCTAAGTGGGCAGTTCTTACCAAAATATGCTGCAATGTTGACCAAGCTAAGTGAAGAAGATTCCCAGACCCTTGACACACTATTGAAAAATTAATAGTGAGATCTTACCACTGATTGTGATGCCCAGATCCACTGCTCTTTTCTTCTGCAGCTTCACATGAAATGTTCCACTGCTAGGCACAACAGATTCTGGCCACACAACAAAATACAGCATTATGATGAAGTACAAATACAAGTGTGATTTTCAATTAAATAGCAATAAAAACTGAAAACAAAGCAAGAAATTCATGTCTTAAGACCTCTTTGTGGAAAATGTAGAAATTAACGTTTTAAGAAATTGGAAACCTCTCTAACCTGCCACATCAAATTCAATTTCTAGCGTGACCTTATTGGCCAGAGCAGCATCCCGGAGCAGCTGATTGGCCTCCTCCAGCGTTCCATCTTCTGTAGGAATTCCATTGATGGATAAGACTCTGTCTCCAACCTGGAGAAGCCCACACCTGCCAATCAAAATAGGATAGAAGGACTAAAATGCTCTAGAAACGGTCATTTCATGTTCCCTTCCTCCAGCGACTGAATCACTGTCAGTCCGAACACCTCTTAAAGGGACAGTTCACCCAAAAATGAAAATTCTGTCATCATTTATGAATGTTGGTAACCAGACAGTTGATGGTAGCCATTGACTTCCATAGCATGGAAGAAAAATACTATGGAAGTCAATGGCTACGAGCAACTGTTTGGTTACCAACTTTCTTCTTTTGTGTTCAACAGAAGAAATAAACTCATACAGGTTTGGAAGCAACTTGAGGGTGAGTAAATGATGACAGAATTTTCATTTTCGGGGGAACTATCCCTTTAAATGGGCAGTTCCTGGCCAAAATAATGTGCAAAATGGACCAGACTTCATGCCAATAGTCAAAAGTCTGACTGAAAACCATTTCAAAAGTTGTTGATTTTTTTCAAACACAACAACAAAAATGCATGTTTTACTTGTTTTCTCAGGTTTCTATATGCAAGCCCAGTGTCACTGTGGGTAACCATGTGTGCATGGCAGAGGCGGACTTAACCATTAGGCAAAGGTAGGCGAC